GGTGTGGGGTGCAGAAAGTTCCTAGGTGGCTGTTTTGTTTTTTTTCCTAGTTGGGCTCATCTTTCTGGCAGTTACACTGCAATTCAAAGACTGTTATGTTGCAGTTATTGGTCTGTTGGTGCAATCACTTCACCCCAGACATCACTTCCCTTGCCCCAATAGCTACCTGGCCCCCTCTGTTTTTCTGTGTCTTGAGAACTTGTTCTTCCTGACTCTATTGCCAATAAACAGAATGAGTACAATCCCCTTAGTACAACTGATGAAACATTTTCTTCTGGCTCTAGCTTCATATCTCAAGCCACTCCCTGCCCCCCACACCCTATCTCCCAATCCTTCTGACCTGATTCTAACTCTAATCAAATTCATTATGAAGCTTCATCTCTCTGCCTTTGACTATGCAGTTTTCCCCATGCAAACTGTTGTTGCTATCCCCTTCCCTCTGTCTGCCTGACCCTTGCTCTTTCTTCTCATGATTCAAACATGTTCTACTTTGTCTCCTGATTCTAGTCCTGCAATAGAGCTGCAATAGAACTTATCTTAAGCACATTATCAGCTTAAACAATAAACATTGTTCATTTTATATTTGCAGTTCTTTATTGTTATTTTTTGTGACCACCTGCCAATCTTGAAAATTGTATGGTTGGTTTCTTGCTACTTTCTTAGCAGATTTCATGACACAGAGCATGCTTGATATGTAGCAGGTCATCAAATGTGTCTATTGGATGGAATAATGGATATATTGATGAATTATTGAGGGGCTTATGGATAGATAATGTTTTGATGTGTGGGCAGACAGATGGATTGGTGGATACACAAATAGGTGGATAAGGATATCAATGGGCTTACAGATGGGTAAATGTGTTTGTAGGTAATGAATGTAATTACGTATAGATAAAAGTATTGGTGGATGGATGGGTGTCACATCTTATGATGATATGTTAATAGACTTAGCCATCATGTATCAACTGGGTGCTTTCCGTGTGCTCAAAAATTTGATAGGACAAAAAAATAAGTATGAGAAATGAAACCAAACTTCAGCTTGGAAGATATAAGCAGCCTAATTTAGCTCCCAATTAGCTACTTTGAAAACCTGCTGACAATGAGGAATGTAATGAAAGCCCAGTGTCCTATGCACACGGGATGTGAAATGGAATGTTTGCTAGATGTTCCTACATGGCTCTACTTAGTTCATCATATTCCAGCAAGGACCATCAAAGGGAAGGAGCAAGAGCAAATAAGTTTCCACCACCTAAATAGTGAATGGTGTTCAATCCATGAACAAGTGTTGAAGTTGCTTCTAATGCAGAAGCTTTGCATGTCTATTCTGCAGATGGCAAACCCAAATGTTTCCCTACTTTTAAAACCTACTACTTTTCATGGCTTCCCATGGCTCTGAACAAACTCCCAGTGATTTAGCATGACATGCAAGGGCCCCCATGATCCATTGTTAGAGGCCTTCACAGACTTACTCAGCTTCTTAACAAGCTGCTTCCTGCTGTAGATGGAGGTTTTTGTTCTGCCCTAAGGCAGAACAAAAGGTTTTGTTGAGACCTGTTCAGTCTCAAATAAACACACAGAGGCTTCTATTAATTATAAACTATTTGGCCTATTACTCAGGCTTCTTACTGGCCAGATCTCTCTTAATCATTAACCCACTTCTATTAATCTGTGTATCTCCACATGGTCTTGGCTTACCGGTGATGCCTGGATCTCTTGCTTCCTTGACAGCTACATAGTGCCTTCTCCAACTCCACCTGCTACCTTTTTCTATCCTTGTTCGGATTTCCTGCCTTGCTAAATCCTGCCTGAGCATTGGCCAAAACAGCTTTATTCATCAACTAATAAGAGAAATATATATTTAAAGAATATAGAAGGACATCCCCCATCATCTCCTCTTTTCTGTCTAAAGAAAAAGGTTTTAACTTTAACATAGTAAAATTATATATAAAGACAGTTATTAAGCAGAACTCTAGTTAACAATATTTAGTTCACTAACACTTGGCAAAATTTAAAGAAAAATATTCTATCATCTGTCCTATCTTTGTTAGTCTAAAGTTTTATAGGTAACTTATCTTTTATCATAACTAAGGAAAACTATAACCATAACTACCTGTCTTCAACTCCATCAAAGACCCCAGAAGGATAATATATAAACTCCAGAATTGACAGAGATGTCTCATTGCTTCAACAGTCACACAAAGTTCCTCTGTAACATTGGGGCATCCCTCTTCAGCCTATAGGCCTAGGATGTCTGGTAGACTTTTTGATGAAGCAGGAGCTTTTAAGGACCATCCTGTCTCTTGTCAAGTTTAGCAGGCACTTTTCTTTGTAATCTGCTTGCCCAGTTTGGACAGTGTGTGGTCAAGCTGTCCAGGCAAGAGCAGTTTCTTGTCCAAATGGCTATCCCTGCCATGTTGAAGGCAATCCTGCCTGTCCATTGTCCAAAACAGCTTTATTCATTAGCCAATAAGAGGAACATATATTCACAGCATACAGAAGGACCTTCCCATCATCCTGCTTCTCCTGGTGTGTCACTATCTCAGCTGGTAACTCCTCTGACCACAGTGCTTCCTCCTACTTCTCCCTTTTTCTTCAGTATCCCCAAGAAGGGCCGAAGTTTCCAAATACTTCAGTCTTTCATACTTTTTATGGAGTGTCTGTGAAGGACCCCTCCTGTTTTATTGAGCACACATGTGGGTGCACACATGTTATAGTGTGTGGAGGTCAGAGGACAACTTTCAAGAGTTGCTTCTTTCCGTTCACCACATGGTTATTGTTCCAGCAAGTCTCTATCTGCTAGGGCAAACTGATGGCCCTTGGACATATTTAACTTCACAGCTATCTATCTCAAGCTTCATGGAGATATAGAACCCCTGGAGCACCTTTTCATCCTAGTCCTGGTGGGTGAACTGTGTATTCCCAGTTGATTGCATGCAAGAGAATTTGGAGGAGCAGAGTAGAAAGGGAACAAGTACTATCAAACGGACGGATTATCCCTGTAATAAACATACCCAGGGCAGAGTTCTTAATGACTTGCCGCTTCATCCTTACCTCAGAATTCTGCTAGTTTTCCATTTTCTTTATCCCTCTGCTGCTCTTCTTCTATTTTCTCCTTCTCTCCTTCTTTGGCAACCATCATGGTCAAAACCACCCTTGTCTTCCATCTTGATTGAAGGAACAGCATATCCCTGTAAATAGCACCCTTCTCGTCTCCTCGTCTATTCTCTATACCACCCTGCAGTGATATTACAGTGTGATGGCACTCCTTTGATTAAAAACCTTCAATGGCTTCTCATTTTAAGATAAAAACAAAATTGAACATGGCCAACAAAGCTCAACACTGCTTCATCCACCACCTCAATATTTCCTAATGTCACTGCTTCAGCTTCAGTTGTTTGTTTCTGGTGCCCTGTATGTACCACAGACATTTGCACACCTTGATCTGTTAGTCTGCTCCCATTTTCTTTTCCATAATCAATGCTATCTCACCCCTCTAGATCAAAATATACATTTTTTTGAGACAGGGTTTCTTTGTGGCTTTGGAAGCTGTCCTGGAACTAGCTCTCATAGACCAGGCTGGTCTCAAACTCACAGAGATCCACCTGCCTCTGCCTCGAAAGTGCCAAAATATACTTATTGAGTCTTATTTTATCTTCTTTTTGTTTCCTTTAATATAAATATACCTTTCTTTCTCTTCCATTCTTTAAAAAGGAGAGAGAGAGAGAGAGAGAGAGAGAGAGAGAGAGAGAGAGAGAGAGAATGTAGAGACAAAGAATGATGCTGGGTATCTTCTTCAGTTACTCTCTATGTTACTACTTTTTTTTGAGACAGAATCTCTCACTGACTCTGGACATCCTGTTGTTACCTGGCCAGCAAGGCCCAGGGTCATCCTAGCTCTGCGGCCGCAGCACTAGAGTCACAGGCATGTGCACCCATACACAGCCTTTCACAGGATGCAGGGGATCTGAACTCAGGTCCTAATGCTTACATAGCAAATGCTTTGCCAACTGAGCATTTCCTCCACCCAATATACTTTTTCTTGTAGCATGTCAGAGATTTGCAGTTAATCAGCTAATATCTGGCCTCTCCCTTAGACTATAAACCTCATGAGAGCAGGGATCACATATGGTTCCTTTTTATCTCCACCCAACTAGCTAAGCCCTGACAGGTAGCAAATAAATATTAGCTGAATGAGTAATAAATAGATGCGCTATCATTGCTTTGAAGCTAAATCTGTGTGGTTTATGAGGAAGCAGTTTCCTTCTGGGGAACCTATGGAGAGAGAATAGAATACACATGGCTAGAGAGAGGGCTCAGCAGTTAAAAGTGTTTCATGCTGCTTCTGAAATCACTTCCCATGATACATGATCTCACTACTACCTTCAGTTCCTGCTCTGTGGGATCCAATACCCTTTTTCTTCTAGCTCTGTGGTCATCAACATGTGTGTGGGCATCCAGGTGTGTATACATACATACATACATACATACATACATACATACATACATACATACATATTGGGCTGGAGAGATGGCTCAGCAGTTAAAAGCACTGACTTCTCTTTCAGAGGTCTTGAGTTCAATTCCCAGCAACCACATGTGGTTCACAATCATCTGTAGTGAGATCTGGTGCCCTCTTCTGGCCTGAGGCATACATGGAGGCAGAGCACTGTATGTAATAAATAAATAAATAAATCTTAAAAAAAAGACATGTGAACCCAGGGCAATGATTTGGTAGTCAAAAGTGTTCAGCAGTTGATTATTAATGCCTAAATACAGGACCACAATTCTGAGAATGAGTGCAGCCTGGTAGATGAAAGTGTTTGTAGTTAGCAATGCCTCCATAGTTCCTGAGAGGTCCCCACTTGGAGGCTTTATGTGAAGGTAAGCAATGATTATGCATGTTTGTGCTATAATATTGTGCTGATGGTAGTGCACACTCATTTGTCGGATGCCTCTTTAAGTCTTCCCTAAAATGTGTCTTTCTCTTTTCCTCCATCTAGATTTATGGTCAATGTGACGTGGGATGGCAAAGATTTGTCCTTCACTGAAGAAGGCTATCAGGTACATCCCAGGCTTGTGGTGATTGTGCTGAACAAGGACCGAGAGTGGGAAAAGGTGAGTGTGTGCAGAATGCAGGGGGTAGAGGGGGAACACCTCCCGGAGCATTTTCTGTGCAGTGGCTCTGAGCTCCCTTCTCTGAAGCCCAGGGACAGCCTTTCTGAGAACCAGGCAGGTGCAAATGTATAGGAATGTATAGGAATGCACTTGTAGTTTTGTGCTGCTCTCATGTCCCAGCAAGCATAGTTCTGGACAGGTTCAGGACAATTTAAAGATAGTTAAGCTCTAGCTACAGAAAAGCAGTAAGGAATGTCCACTGGAGCAATGATCACATTGATTTTCTTGAATCTTCTAAGCGTGTACCATGTTCACCATTTGGCATTTTGTGAGCACCCTGTATTTTAATTTACTTAGTCTTTTACTCTAAATAAACTAGTTTTCAAAAACTCCAGTGTGTCCCTTCTATTGCTTTCTGTAAATTGTATTGAGGAGAGGGGGCTTATAAGTCTTACAAAGCACCTGTCAAAGTATTGCATATTAGCTCTGAAAAGTCAACATATAAAGAAAAAAATCACCCCATGTACTGGCACATCCTGTGTCACAGAAGAGGGACTTCGTAGAATTCACTAAGCATTCAGAGACACAATGGTACCTGTCTCAGTGGCACACCTTCTTCCTCCATATCCCAGCTACCAAGGCAATCCCACACTATTGCATATGGAATACAATAACAGGATCAAAGCCTAGGGCACATCATGCAAGCAGAGACAGAGAAAGCATAAGGGCTAGAGGAGGGAGAAGAGTCCTGTGAGATGTGGTCATATGTGAATATGAATCATGGCTGTTGTACATATGAACTCACAGCAGCCTTGGCTGCCTGCATGAGCTCTGCATAAGATCAAGGTGGTTAAAATTAGCCCAGCATGGATGAGGGGAGGCTCCTAAGTCCCTACACCTCTAGAAGAGGAGATATTGGTGTTGACAGATGCTGGGAAAGGGAGTCACTTTTCTTTTGGAATGTGGTCACTAGTAGCTTGCCCATGCCCCAGTTGACTGCAGCACACCCATGCATATATAGGCAACATTAATTGGTCTTAGTGAGTTACAAAATAAAATAAAATAAAATAAAATTTAAAAAGACCAAAATATAAAATGGTATTGTTGACTAATATTTGACAAAATATGTCTCATTTCTAAATGATATTAGCATCTTAAAGTTTATCTTTGCTTTGCACATCAAATGGAAGAGTGAGAGACCCTAGAGAGGAGGAAGGTACAGGGCAGGGATTTGGAGAAAACACTCTATAAACAGGAGCATAGCCTTTGCAGGCTCAGTGAGACTCCGAAAGGGTGACAAGGCAGCTCAGGAAAAATTGCCTGTTACATTTGTCAGCTACAAAATATGTGTTTCTTCAAGAACATGTGAAAAGTTCACTAAGGTAGACTGTGTTTTATAATATAAAATGACTCTCATATTTGGCAAAATTGAAATGAAATAGAATGAACCCTCTAATAACAGCAGTATTCAAATAAAATTCAGCAATGAAGATATATCCAGAAAATGCATGTTTGGAAATTATGACACACTTCTGCTTAAATTTTAGGATAAAGGAGAAATAAAAAATATATTAGAAAATATTTTAACAGAATGGTAATGAAAACACAACATATCAAAACTGGAAGGATAAAGCTGAATGTGTTAGGAGAGAAATTTATGGCTGCAATTCATTACAATAAAAGGGAATTTGTGGAGCTGGGGCGATGGATCAGAAGTTAGCACTTGCTGCCCTTCCAGAGGACTGGAGGCCAGCTCCCAGCACTCTTGGTTGTGGATTGTAACTGTTTGTAGCTCCAGCTCCAGGCTATCCTGTCCCTTTCTCCTGGCTTCCTTGGGTATCCACTCACACATGGCATACATTCACACAGACACAGATAAATGTACATAAATAAAAACAAAATAGCTCTTTTAAAAAGACAAATTGTAAAGTCCATAATTTATACTGCAAAAGAGAGAGATAGTGACATATCTCTGTAATATCAGCACTGAGGCTGAGCCAGAGAGATTGCAAATCACAACCGTATCAGACTGCACAGCAAGACCCTGACCTTGTATCTCTGTCTCACGGTCTCACAGAACATAGAAAGCTAGAAAAAGAACCCAAACTAGTCAGAAGGAAAAATAATAGATATAAGATTAAAAGTCAACAATTTAGTACCCAACCTTTAGGAAAAACCCTGATAAAATTAATAGCAACAGTGATGATTATGCAAAAAGGAAAACACAAATAATTAATACTGAAGCACAAAGGTGATACCATTACAGACATTATTGATTCTAGGGAATAAACAGCAATATCACATACAATTCATGCCAGCAAGTCTGACAGTGTTGTAAAATGGGAAAATACTTCAGAGAAACACAGTTTTCCCACACTAACGAGTGAAGAAGTCAGTCATCCGAATAGTGTACATTTGCTAGGAAGTTGCATGTATAACAGAAAACCTTCCCTTTTTGGTGGGAAAAGGTAATTTATTTGCATTGCTCCTATTTTCTACTGGGGTTAGGAAGAAAATCTTTGTGTCCAGATGGCTTCACTGTGAATTCAATCAAATGTTTAAAAAATAAGTAACAGCAATGTACACAGTTTTTCACCATCTTACTAATCGCAGGCAATAATGTTGCCTAAAAAGATAATACATCATAGAGAAGAGGGATTTATTTTAGGAATGCAATATTGGCTTCACATTCAAAAACCAAATTGATGTAATTTACCATATTAACTGAATAAAGGGGAAATTATATAGTTATTTCAACAGATGCAGAAAACACATTTGATGAAATTCACTATCCATCTTGATAAGAAGGCCAATTAATTCCTTCATCTGATGAAGGTTGTCTATGAGAATCCTATAGCTAGTATCTTTTTAAATATAATATTATTTTCATTCTTTAAGAAGTCCATACATGAATAAAATGTATTTTGATCATATTCACCCTAGCCCCTCCAGATCCTCTTAGGTCCCCCTACATGTCTCTGTCTCAAATTCACATCCTGTTTTTAACTTTACGTATTTTTAATTTTAATCTTTATTGCCTACTGAACCCAATTAGTGCTGCTCCTATACACATCCATGGGCCTACACCCCTAATGGAAACTGACTCTCTATTCCCCAGCTGCCATCAATTTTCAGTGACTCTTTGCTAGGGGTGGGGGCTCATGAGCCCCTCCCCCACCCAGGATGGAGTTTTGACTGGTTTGACCTTGCGCAGGCAACCCCAGCTGCTATGACATCATGAGGGCAGTAGTCATATCCTGTCCATAAGACACTCTACAGCTAATGTCTTATTTAATGATGAAAATGTGAAGACAGATCTCAAAACGAACAGTGAAGTGATATGGATGAAAAGAATGTTGAAGCTGGGTGGTGGTGGCACACGCCTTTAATCCCAGCACTTAGGAGGAAAGGCAGGTGGATCTCAGTGAGTTTGAGGCCAGCCTAGTCTACAAAGTGAGTTCCAGGACAGCCAGAGAAACACAGAAAAACCCCATCTCAAAAAAACAAAAAACAACACCCCCCACACAAAATCCAACCAAACCAAAAAAATAAAAATAAAAGAGAAAGTAGAAATAAATGTTGTAAGACATTTATTCTAATAAATGGCATTATGTCAGCTCAAGGTCCATAAGGACCTAAAATTAAACCTGGACCATTTACTTTCACTATGTACAAAAACTATTTGAAACAAATTGTAGGCTTATGTCAAAACTAAAATCAGCAAGTTTCTAGAAGGTGATGAAGCAGGATTTGGAAGCCCCAAGGAGATCTCAGATTTCTTTTTTCCTTTTATTTTTAGATTATAATATAATTATACCATTTCTCCCTTCCCAATAATCCATCCAAACCCTCCCATATATATCTCCTAGCTGTCTTTCAAATTCATGGCCTCTTTTTTTCATTAAATGTTGTTACATGCATATATAATAATATATATTCCTAAATATAATTGGCTCAGTCTAACGATGGATTTCTTAAACATGCAATAAGCATAAATACTGAAATCTTTCAAAATAAACAAATATTTTGCTTACATAAAAGCATTTTTGGAAATGAAAAAGACAAAATACAATTTGGAAGAGATAATACATGTATGTTATGAAGAATACATACTTAGAATATATAAATAACTTACAAATAAATAATAAAAAGTTCAACAGTATTAATAAGATAGAAATTGTCTTAGATACTTCATAAAAGTTACTATTCAAATATTGATACATTCAGGGAAATGCTTAATATCACTGGTCTTCAGGGGTATGTAAGTATTTGTGTGTGTGTGTGTGTGTGTGTGTGTGTGTGTGTTGTGCTGAGGATTGAACCAGTTGGTTTGGCATGCTAGGCAAGTGTTCTACCCCTGATTAAACACCCATCATAAGGTCAGACAAATTAAAATAATTCTTAAGATCCAGGTTCATACCCACCTAGTGGGTATTAATATATAAATATTGACAGTATTATTTCCTAGTGAGGGCATAGAGTCTCATATATTACAGGTGAGAATCTAAATTACCACCAACAAAGGCAATTGTTTGGCCTGGATTTTATAAAAAGAAACATACATAATACACACAGACCTTACCACCCAGGAGTACCATCTCTGGTTACAATAGTAAAGAGATATATGTAGACATCCAAACATACGTGTGTATGATACAATTTTATCCATACATCAAATATCAGAAAGAACCAGAGGTATATCTATAAGGAAATGAATAAATATAATATGGTATATTCACAAAATTCACTGCTTCTCAATTAATAGGAAGGAAGAAATTGCTAATGTGTATATTTATAGGGATAACTAAAAAGCATTATATTGAACCAAAGGAGACAGAAGCAAAATATTATAATGCATATTCATTTTATATGAAGTTCAAAAGGAGGTAAAACATTCTAATGAGGTCTGATAGCAGAACACTGGTTGCTGTCTTAAGGAAGGATTGTTGCTAAGAAAGAAACACAGAGAATTTTCTAGAGTGATGACAAGGATTTTCATC